TTTTTTTTTTTGCAACAGTATTGGCGTAGATGCCATTTTGTGGCCCTGTCCCACTGGATGCACTTTTGTTGTGACAGGATTATTTATGACTATTTATGACTGACAGCCAAAGCATTTCTGTCCGTTTTTATAATGCTATTCAATGCAAAGGATGAGCACAATGCAAAATACATGTTTTAAGAGGACATAAAAAGGACTCACCATAGCACCAGGAGATTGAGATACACTCAAAGAACACCAGGAAAAGCAGACACATTCCACTGGCTGAGTAATAGTCGAAGAGTTTAAACACATAGAGGCCACCCTAAAACAAAGCAAGAAAATCAATACAAGGCCCTGCAGCCTGCAATCATATTAATATACAACCTCTGGTCAAACATCTCATCATCTGCTTCCTTCATTGATTTACCTGCGTGATATTGGACAGCCCAATGGCGTAGGATACAATGCAAACACATGCAATGAAAATCTCTCTTCTTTTCCTGAGCAGCCGTGGGAATTCATCCACCAGAGCAGTGATGAAGCCCTCCACTGTGCAGAACTGAAAACAACATCAACAATGGTGTTTTGAAATTGCATTTATATGGCATTTTTTGAACACACTGAAGCATTCTGTGAACTGATGGTAGCATGAAGAAAATATAGCAATAGATCACAACACAAAATTAATTTTGTTGTTTTTACACATAAATGGCTCCAGTGTGAAACCAATTTTCAATAAGAAATAAATAATAATAAATAATAAATTTTGTGAGCATATTAATCGCAACAAACAATTAGGTTACATTCAATAAATCTGTATGCACAGGTGTGTGTGTGTGTGTGTGTGTGTGTGTGCATGTGTTTGTTATAACGTAACGACATCCAATCAGAGTTGGTTTTATATGACTTTCCAAAAACAAACACAATTCATTACAGTAAAGGACATAAAACAAGTACTAAATTCTATATTTTTTGGTGCCACAGGGATGGGATCGATTCTACCCCAGTTTATTTTGCTAGCATTGCAACATTCCCACTATCTCCAGCTTAAGAGACAATGGACATCAGTTTAAAATCCTCAATGCATGCAGCCATAAAGGCAGAAATCAACATCGAAAGATTTTATTTGGCACAAGGCCAGTTGAGTGTTTTTAATGTTCCTTATGTTTCCTTGTGTGGTCGCCAGGGACTCTGAAGTACCTACCAGATCCCGTTCACTTCTGTTTCTAGGTCAGAGCTTGAATATGTGATATTCTCACCTGACTGTCGATTCCCAGCATCAGCAGCATGGAGAAGAAGAGAATAGCCCACAGTGGTGAGACGGGCAACTGCGTCACAGCTTCTGGATAAGCTAAAAACGCCAAACCAGGACCTGTGTAAGCCATGAGAAAAACAACAGTTATATTAACACTTTAAGAGAAATATCCATACTTCAACCGATACAAAAATGTAAAATGCAATATTCTAATTATGTAAAAATGAACGGATTACCTGATGCAGCTACATCAGCTATTGATCTCTTTGTCACATGTGCCATGAAGCCCACAATAGAGAAAATCACAAATCCAGCAAACATACTAGTGAAGGCATTTATACAGCACACGATGATAGAATCCCTGCAGAAAAAAAGAGGGGGAAAAAGGATTCTGTCTTCAAATGTGCTATAAACGTCTTTGTCTGATCTGAAAGCTGCATATCATTTTAGCATTTCAGGAGAAGATGTAAGGATTATGTAAGTGATATAGCCAAACTTCAAATTTAATTTGATGGTAATTCTCACTATTCATATGCTAAAATGTCAAGTCTGATAATGGGCACATAATCACAGTCAGTCACAGTTAGAGATCTGGCTTGTTCAAACAAACATCATTCACAGCATGAAAAAAAAACAAATGGTCAGGGTGAAAAGGGCCTGAAACACTGAAAGAGGGTCGAGTTATCTAACTGATGAAATGTTGATTGCATCATTCATACCTGTACACATTGTTATTGAAAGGGTTGTAGCTGCCCAGAGCAATAAGAGAGCCTAGTCCCAAACCATAGGAGAAGAAAATCTGTGTTGCAGCATCCAGCCAAACCTGAGATGGAAAATGAAACTGTTTAGCAGCTAGCTTGGGTTTGTTTGATCCTGCTTAAATGATGAAACATGTAAAATCACCTCAGACTGCTTCAGCTTCTCAAAATCAGGAGTGACATAGAACATGATTCCATCTTTAGCCCCAGGCAGGGTCACTCCACGGATAAACAAAATGAACAACATGAAGTATGGGTAGGTGGCAGAGAAGTAAACAACCTGCAAAACATTGATTTCTCTATCAGATATTTCCCCATTTGCATTTGTTCAGCATGTATGTTCGTGTCTGTTAAAAAATGCTGGAAATTGCTTTCATGGGACAAGAAACCCATAGAGCATTTTTGCCTACTCCCACAAAGTTGATGGCAAGCATGTGTGTTTTACATTCAATGCGGTGAAATCATTACAAACTCACTCAAAATCCAGACCGAACTCTTGAAAACAGACTAACAAAGACATCTCACCTTTCCAGTCCAGCTAACACCTTTCCAGATACAGAAGTACACGAGGACCCAGGCAATGGCCAGTGTTATTGCTAGTGGCACACGAATTTCACCAGGTTTTTCTAAGCCATCAGTCATTTGATGCATATTGCGTCTGTATAAGCACATCATGCAACACAATTACACTTCACAACAAGACACTTACTGGACACATGTATTATGTATTTTCATGTACAAAGGTCAAAGAAGGTCATGCACATCAATTTGCCCAAAATCTTACTCCCAAAACTCCATGACAGCGCTGGTGAGATTGGTGGTGTCTACTATGCTGTAGTTTGTGTAACATCTGTCTGTGTTCCATGGATTGTTACAAGATTTCCATGGAAGCTCCTACAAAGAGCAGAAGAATGCTTTACTTTTCTTTTTTTAAATACATTCTCCAAATGACTTTTTTTTATGGCTTGCAAACGCATGTGACAAGGAATACTTACAGTGGTAAAGGAGTTGTATAAGTAGTACAGGGCCCAGGAAATGATGACAATGTAGTAAATGTTCAGCCAGAATGAGAGAACAGCAGCCGCAAGACCAACACCTGTAGTTATGACAGTGTGTTATAATTTACATTCATTCCTTCAAAGCAGCATGTGAACCGCCTGGTCAAAACGTCCTTTATGCAGCATTGCATTTTATTACATAATTGGTCTTCAGCTTTGAACATCAGAGGGTACATTAGCATCTTCAGAACAACATATATCAGTCATAACAAACGTACATAACACAAAACCCATGCGTTTAAATCCACTCGTTCAATTTTGCATTTATTGAAGGTCTCACACAACACCAACATTGCATACTTCTAGAAACCAACTCGTATTTGTTCAGCAGTTAGTATGGGAGCAGATAAGAAAGAAAGGTGCTGAACAGAAATCATATACCTTTGAACATCGGAGCTAGTTTCCAAACCCCAAGGCCGCCAATGGATGTGTACTGTCCAAGAGCACACTCAAGAAAAAACAGAGGAACTCCCGCAAAAATAAGCGTCAAAAAATAAGGAATCAAGAAAGCCCCTGGAATCACAGAAATAGATGAAAGCACCCAGTGGAGCTGTGCACAGCAGCACAAAGCACACATTCATCCTGACACAACATCTCAGACTCTTGGAGAAGCTGAAGCTGCTCTTACCTCCGCCGTTTTTCCCGCACAGATAAGGAAATCTCCACACGTTGCCCAGTCCGATGGCGTAGCCCACACATGACAGGAGAAAATCAAATTTCCCACCCCAAGTTTCTCTGTCTGGAATGTCTTTATTCTTTTTCTCTGGTTTGGCGTCCTCTGCTTTGGGTTTGTCGTTAGTTGTGATCTCGTTGAGTTCCGTCACAACTTGTCCGTCGGTGCTTTTGGTGTTGTTTGTCGCCATGTCTCTGATTTTAGACAGCAGCAGAGATCTACCACGCAAACACCCGATCAAACCCGACACAGTTTCAGTTAACCTGAAGACAACGAATCACACGAAACCACTGTTTCCCCCCGTAAAGACACACAAAAAACACTGAGAGAGCTGCCGTCTCTAATTGAGACAGAATTGGCTGTCATGACAGTCAATTTACAGATATAAATCTTTTTTTATTTTATTTTTTTTCCATCGAACGATCAGCCAGCTTCTCAGTTATGTTTCGGCAATGTTTTGATGCATTTACTATTGTTATACCCATTTAATTAAATGCATTTAAACACACAGACTCGCATGCACACAAACACACTTAAGACATTTTAATGAAATGAAAATCATTTCCAAATTTCTCGTATCTACTTACAGTGAATTTGGCTTCTTTCCCAAAAGCAATATGCCCGTGTGTCATGCAGTGAGGTATCCGTAGATTCCTCTCCAAGTTGTAAACTTCCAGAATGAGTTGGCACGTAAATGAGCCTTCTGTCCATGTAAAGCGGTCCTGCGGGAGCTGTCCACGGGCGAGTGGTGCTGAATCCACCGAGCAACGACTGTCTGAGATCAGCAGCTACTCAACATTTCCAGAGCGTCAATGTCATGTGAAAGTCAACACCCCCCAACGGACACACACACACTTTCAGGTCAGGCACGCAAATCTTTACCTTGCATGTGCATGTGTTAACATCACACTCACGTAAAATTAGTCCGATATATCAGTTGAATATTTAGGTTTCTTTTTTCTAAAACTGAGCACAATTCTTGGGATGCAGCAGCATATTAAAAACATGGGCTATTTCTTATGTTTCTCTCTCTCTCTTTAAATCCTTGAAATCTTGACTTAAAATTCACGTTTCATTAATTTACTCACACACGCACACACACATCTGTGGCTATCATGAGGTTAAAATGAACTCGTGCATTCACTGCCCATCCTAAATCCCTCTTCAAACCCAGCCCACTTCAAACCATAACATATACTAAAAATATGGCAGATGAGGAGCAGAACAGGTGAAGCCACTGACACAGCATCAGGTGTGAGCAGGAAATATCACTCCTCATCTGAAACTGAACACTTAAAGAAATAATGCCTCAATAAAAAAAATAAAAAATTATCTTGGACACTATCTTTATGGGATGCATAATTGGATTGCATAAATGTCCTGGTATACAGCGCAGTCTTGATCTTCTGTTGGAAGTCCATAAATATGCGGTAAGTAAAGTATAAATTATATATAAAGTATATTTCAGTCCATCATATGTATGAAAGATATATCATGCACTTACTAGCTAGCTTTTTAATTTCTTCTGAATGACAGAATTGTGAAAGTCTGTAAACACTGGTTAATGAAAAGTTAATGTGGGATTTGGGTCAGAGTGGTATAGATTTCAACTCCTCTCTCAAAGCTTGGCTCAGAGTGGAGAACTCAATTGGAAGCAGATGGTGAACCAATGAGGGGTGAACTAACCTACTAATGATACTACATGAAATGTAACATTTGCACTCCATCTGGCTGCATCTCCCTTTGGTTATGGGCTGTGAAAACATGACATATTTATGCACCTGCTGTGGACACTTGAGTACTTTTGGCTTGCTGGTGACACCATGTTATGTCCAGATAGGCTCATTTAGAGAGATATATGTGATAATCAACAGGCTGTCAAAGGCATTCAGATTATTAAAAAAAAAAAGAACAATAACAGGTCAAAACGTGGTATTTTGGAAACTGTTTGTGTTTGACAGGGTCAGGTTTGTTCAGTCATATAAATTCATATTTGTGACAAAAAGTAAGAACGAAAGAAAGAAAGAAAGAAAGAAGAGTTAATTTCGATGTTACCAGAAGAAGCAAAACAAACAAGGTCTTAATATGAAAATTATAAACTAAACTATACATTTGAATTGTATGATCTATCATATTTATATATGTTTTATTATTGGTTTTACATATAAGAGAATTTAATGTTGCTGGAAAGGAATTCTATTGTGATTTGTATATTTTTAAAAAAGCTTGTGTAAGGAACTTTTACATTTTATTTAATTATTTAGTTATTATTTTCATTTAAGAGTCTGTAAGTTGAAGAAATCTTCATAGGTAGTACAATATGACAACATCTGTTCTAAATGATATGAGAAAGAAACCACTATATCATTTCTCATCAAACTGTGAATCAAATTATGCATATATTTTTAAATGATTTGTCTCATCTACCCCATAACGACTTGGGCTTGATTTTGTTTTAATGAAATATGCAAATCCTGTCAGCTATAAGAGAGTAATCAATCCTTCTTGTGTCATTACTGTTTAAGAGTGCTTCGTATTCAGTGTCTCTGACTTGTCTTAGCGAACCTTGAAAAAGTGACAATAAATTGTTGGTTACAAGTGCAGAGGATCCAGGTTGTGTGTGAGCACCGCAGACCATTTAGGTGGGCTGTATAAAAATATACATCCCTCAAAGCAGTATGGGGCATCGAAATCATTTTAAAATTTTTGTTCAAGTGTTGCTAGGCAACAGCAAAATGGTCTCAGCCTCCTTGTTATATTAGAGTTTCTGCTGGGGTTTGCTCCCATTCATATCTTCCCTTTTTTGTCTCCTTTCATTAGCAAATATTAAATTTTCATGTTTCAATTTTCCTATTTTTTTCTCTGCCTCAAAATTGCACTCGAGTTACACACAGGCCTAAATGTTTAAGCCAGCATTTAACTGGCTTTACAGTTCATTCTTTAAAAAAAGAAGATACTTTCCCCTTCCTTGTTATAGAAATTTATGGACACAAATCATTATAGCAAAACACATATAGTGTGTTTAATTATATTAGACAGGCATTCATTTCTAATTAACAACTGAAATGTAGACTTTTGTTTTGAAGCTACAAAACAGTCAAATATATCGTGCACAGAGCATTATGAGTACAGCATAACACAGAGCGCGTCACATTGTCTGCAATCTCTCCTCACTACACTGCTGCTAATCTACTGCATTTGCCGCAATCACTATGGAAACTGACTTTTGCCACACAGCCTCTACTGAGGCAGGCATGCAGCAAATGCTGTCAGTGATTGTCCACTGACGTATGTTTACATGGAGGTCTGAATCAGTGTTTCTTGCAGACCACAGCAAAAGTATAATTTATCTTCTCAAGTTATAGCTACATAATCAATTGTATAATAAATCCTTCAATATAGTAGTGTAGCATATTTGAAGGATGAAATGATTTCTGTGCAAATTCTAAACAAGATCCACAAAGCAAATTTGACACTGTAGTCCACAGACGAAACAGCAAGAGCTTTGTTATAGAGGTTTGGACAAAAAGAGTACTTAGCGAACACATCAAAACCCTAACCACCTGCCTCTAGCTAAAATGTATGAAAATGCTCTTCATGGTTTTAAAGGGTTTATCCGCTTCAAAGGCGGCTGGCTGATGCATCGCTCTGACCGTGCAGTCCTCCAGCCCCGGAAAGAATGCGCTCAAGCCTTTGAACAAGTTTCTGAGCTCAGCCCTCATTCAGGGGACAGTCTTCCCTTTTTTTGTTTTTTACATAAGGCAAATTTACATGTGCTGATGATGTCAGCTCAAATTTGGCACACCACCTCCCCCCTCCAAAAAACATTCACAAAAATAAAGCATTTTCCTCTTGAGCTCAAAGGACAAGTGAATCACGTCTGTCAGAGATGCAGTATGCGTGTAATACTGTAGCGTCATTGGCGTGCATTTATTGGTTCATGATTGCAGTGTAATGCAACAAAATGATGAATGCAAATGGAAGTGGGGGGAGGGGGTGTCTGCTGATAGATCATTCTGATTGGTTATAAAATGGCTTGCGTGTATAATGATAGTGCTCCGATTTGTGGAGTAAAAACACAAAGGAAGCATCCTAAATCTGAAGAGAAAATGATCCTTCCCTCTTTGTGCATGTTGCTGTCATCCCAGATCTTTTCATAAAACCGCCACGAGCGTGCCTCGCATTTGAATTAGGCTGATGAGTGGAATCTGTGCCCACAGAGAGGCCGGCGGCACTTTCCAGCGTCACATGATGCTTAATTAGGGATTCTTCTATATTATAGGGCTGGAATTCTGCCAAATGTCTATCAGTTGTTTCAGTCAATGCACTAATCATTGCGCTCGCTGCCTCCTGAGGTGCATTGGGCTGTGTATTCTGGCTTCTCAGAAAGAAAAAAATTAATAAACAAAAAATAAACAGTCGAGGTTGTGTCGAAAGTAAATCTAATTTTAGATCTAGAGCTTCACTTTGATGAGTATTTGAATATTTGGATATGAATCTCTCGTTCTTCGGTAAACATATGGCTATAGTAAGCAGCAACAGCATCCTGCTGTTTAAAATATAGTGTAAACAAACCACATTTTAGAGAGCTGGTTGCACTTCTCACTCATCAGGCAAGGAGGTAATAGGGTAATGGTAATTACCCTAAACATACATTATAGGGGTAATGGGATGCATTGAGAATAATTTGTTTTTTTAATGAGAAAAATTGCATTTTAAAGGATTCTACAGTCATTATTAACTGAACCACTATAGTTTTAATCTGTGTTTCAAAATATTGCAACGTACAAACTGTACAAAGAACCTATGGCATTTAGAGTCAATGGTGCGATGTGATGTGGCATGGTAAATTGTAATCTGTCTTCATGCATAAAGCATAAAGTCATTGTGTCACTGCCTCTGCCATTAGACGCTCTGGTTCCTGTCAACCTTTATCCTACACCCCATGACTTTTGCACAAATTATGGGAGTAACTTCAGTTAAACTGTAAACAATCAATGAAAGGTTCATTCTATGAACTCAAAAAGAAGCATTTCCAAAAAATGGGTGCAATGAAGTGATATTATTCAACCATCGAACAATAAAAGGAAATTTAAAAGCGTAGCAACTTTAGCAAATTACTTTCAACAGACCATGAATAACCCTAAAATCTTGATTATTTCTACAGCAATATTACAGACATATTACTGTAATATATGTCTCTGTCTATATATATTGCAAGACGTTGCTTTAATCAAAAAACATTAATTAACTGGAACATTGACTGATAATTTTTCAAAGTGATTTCTGTCAAATGATTTCCAGGAAGCATTCGTGTAAAAACAAACCTGCAAGAGAAAAACTCTTGAGATTATTAGTGTTTCCCAGTGAATTATTCATGAGAGATATTGTATAGTGTAAATTAAATCGGGAGAACAGACCACACTGTATGTTGTCTTTTTTCATACTGCTACAGCGGTACAATACAAAGGAAAAATTTAATTAATCAGGAAGAAAAAAATACAGTGGACAAAAAGAGCTCTTCTAATGGTATTCCTATACCATGTCACAGTAAAGGGGTCATATGATGCGATTTCAATTTTTCCTTTCTGTTTGGAGTGTTACAAGCTCTTGGTGCATAAAGAAGATTTGTAAAGTTGCTAAGACTAAAGTCTCAAATCCAAAGAGATATTCTTTATAACCGGCCTCTGCTCACTCTAGCCCTCCGGCCGTTCCTCACTCTAGCCCCCGGCTTCTGCTCACTCTAGGCCACCATGTGTGACGCTGTGTTTTGTTGTGAAAGCAACCTTAAACCGCATAAACACATTTCATTACACCAAATACACAAAATAATGTTATTTTTAGCAACATCATATGACCCCTTTAAAATAACAAGTGTTACGTTATTCTCCTGACGTCTGAAAATAGAACATGAAGAAAAATGGACAGCTCATTTAGTCAAATTGATGGACAAGGATT